AGTTGTTATTATATTCTAGATCTCTCCTTGTTTAATTCTTGATGATAAAGGAGTTTCAATTTATTGATTTTGAATGTGAATCTAAGCTTATTGGACATGCTTACGTGAAGCGAAATCTTACATCGATTATATAAAAGTAAGCCTATGATTTTAATAACTAGTTTTCGAAGTTGAGTTTTACCAAAGATTTTGGTTGAATAGAATAGGATGAAGATGATTGTCAAGAGCAGTCACCAGGACATAATTACATGTAAACATCATGTCTGTATTGATATGTCCCCCGACACTGCTATCATATATATCATATCTGTAGTTGTAGTTGTGAAGGCATAAACATTAGTATTGCATGAATAAGCACAAGAACACAAACTGATTGATGAAATATCCACATGCGTACTTCTATGTTCACTACTTAATCAGTATTTGCATACTTGTAAATGTAAATTGTAAACATATGTGTGAAAATTTATTTTATATGCTAAAATTTGTGACTACACAGTGTTTATTGCATGAATAAGGACAAGAACACAAACTGATTGATGAAATATCCACATGCGTACTTCTATGTTCACTACTTAATCAGTATTTGCATACTTGTAAATGTAAATTGTAAACATATGTGTGAAAATTTATGTTATATGCTAAAATTTGTGACTACACACAGTGTTTGATGATTTTGCCATAGAGAGAGAGAGAGAGAGAGAGAGAGAGAGAGAGAGTGAGCTTGAGAGAAAGAGATGCGTTCTCTTCTTGTGTTTATTTTCTTATTTTTCAAAAAAATATGTGAATATAGAGCTGAGTTTGCAGCTTATAATTTCTCTCTGAGTGTGTTTTGGACTACCATAAGTAGTTTTAAGAGTCTCCTCCCTGGTATTTACTTGTTAATGATTTTAAATGATGATTAAATTTATTTTTCCTTTTAAGTTCAAAACTCACTTCATGGCAAAGGAACAATGATGAAAGGTTAAATGAATTTCAATTTTCTTAACAAAATAGAGAGAACAAAAGAAAAAATTGAGGAAAATGCAAATATGGATCATTGGAAAGCTGTGCCTTTTGATTTTACCGCAGTCGGATTCCAAGATTCATCCTTTGGGTTTACGAGTGTTTTTCTTGATTCCTACTTTCAGTTATTTATTTTATTTTTGTGATTTCTAGAGTTTTTATTCTATCTTGAATTTGGAAAGTTGCATGGTTTGCATTCCTCAATTTAAATACATTTTGGTACAACTTTTATTACCTAGGTGATGGTCCCTTCTCAAATCGTAAGTGTTTCATTTAAAGTCAATATTTACGAACCCAACATTAAATCCAACAGAAATATTAAATAGTACTCAAGTACCAGATGACATAATTTATCTATACTTTTGATCAATGAAAATTATTGAGCGAGACATCCGTAATCTTTCAATTACTTGATAAAAATGAGTCTATCAGTAAATTTTTTATTACACCTCTGATTTGAAGCATCATATAAGTAATATCACTAAATAATTACCCAAAACGAACACTCTTGTATTGTTAAGATAGCCTTTTGAAACCTATACTATTTGCATTATATAGTTTGAATTGTACCTAAAGTTTATTCTTTCTTCATTTGTGTGATTTTGAGATAGGAAGAGAAGTCTAGTAGATATTTGGAGAGATGGGTTTGACTCTCCTCCGATTATTATTTTTTCTAGAATTTCGGATGGGTTTGGATTGTTACATTTGTCTCGGGTCGTCTCTAATCCTTCAAACTTAGTTGATATATTTTAGAGGTCCTTCCACTTTTAGTTAATTGGTTGTGAGTCTACTGAGGCTGCATGCGTTAGAAGTGTTAGACTTGTCCCATATTGTCAAGTTTAACATATTTAAAACAATTTTAAGCCATTTAAAATTTATTAAACAGTTAAAATTGTTCAATCACTTTGATTTTGTTGTCATTCTTCTTCCTTATCTTTTTTTCTTTTTATTTTTTTTTTATGCATGTGTAAATTCACATTATCAAGAAATTTTATTAAGTTCTTCATCTTGATTTTCTCATTGACACAAATATGTTAAGAAATTCATAGAATTACCTATATCCGTTTTTCAAGTTCATCTGTATCCTTTGATTAAGGAAGTGTTTATCTTTATCCTTTAATTAAGGACCTCACTAAAAGGTCCTCAAATTTGTTTGTTTTCCAACAAACGGAAATTGCTTCTGTCATTTCAAGAAGTATAAGACAAACTTCTCAATTACAAAACATTGTTCATCAAGTAGACAATTGAAAACTAGAGAGTTTGTGGGCACCATAAATCTTCTTAATTGGATATGCTCCGTGTACTACCCATACCACATGTCATCTCACCTATTTTGGTTGGGAGATTTGGGAGGGATTTGGAAAGAGAAAGAGAAAAGGTATGTGAAATTGGGTGAAATATAGGTATATTTTATTCACATTTCATCTAACTGTTTCCTTTCCCTTTCTAAATTCCTTCCCACGTACTCCAACCAAATACAAAATTAATGATTTTTTGAATGCAAACAGAATCCCCCGCATTATTATTTTTTTTTTCGCGCTTGGTTTTTTGGATGCCTCCAGCCATCTCAGCAAGGCTTTTTATAAAACCTGGGTATTGGGCATCCAAGGGAACTCTATATGAAACCATTTTTGCATGCCTCGCACATTTAGTCGAATGTCTTCGTTTCAATTTTACTACGAGTCATCATTCATAATATTTGGAGCCATACCTCATTTATCATGGTTGATGAGGTGGATCAAATAATTGCTCAATCCACGAGTCTTCTTAAATTGAAATGTAATAAAGATAAGATATTCATAATTTTATCGATGAGGCTACTCTTGTGATTCAAATTCACACATCACTAAAAATGCTACCAACAAAATTTATTATTATTAGGTCAAATCACCCATTAAATGAGTCTTGTTGATGCAACTTAACTAGTCCAAGTTGGATAAGATTGAAATGAGAAACTAATAAGTTAAGTTAAAAAAAAAATTTTTAAAAAAAACCCATTAAAGAACAATAAAAAAATTTGTTTTACATTGGTGTTGTTATAGTTATTGCTCTTTCTCTCTCTTCGTCTTCATAGATCCATATCTAGGGTTATAAGGTTTTCACTGTCACATTGAAATCTCAGATTTCTTGATTGTGGGGTCATATTGTTAGGTTTGTATGTGTTGAAGCATTGTTCGATGTTTAGCAAAAGTTTTGTTTTGATTTTTAATTGCTAAAGTTAGATTTTTAATTTTGTTTTGATGGATTCACTAAATTTGTTCTTGAGTCTTCTGCGATTCACCTGATCAGTGCTGATCAAACCCTAACCAGCTATTTGGGTTGTTGAAGCTTTGGTGGATTCGGTTAAATGATCACAGTTTTTTGGGTTTGTAGTGAAATTTGATCATTATTTGAAGCTGAAGACACATCTGAGTTGCCTATACGTGTGTGTTTGTGTGGCTGTATATATATATATATATATATTTGAAGAAGAAATCATTAAAAAAGTGAGGAATAATACTAATGGAGTTGGAGGTGGGTTGCAGCCACTAGTCGTACATACTGATCCATCGCCCCATCCGGTACACAACACATATTGCCCACGGATCACGACACAGATTGGTAACAATTTTTTGATGGGAAAAAAATTATATATATTGACGAGAATTAATCATACAAAGATTATAAAAACAAATATCAATAAGTAGATGCGAAGTGCATAAAACTAAACGATCCCAATTAAATTAGTACCGTAAAATAAATCCAATCACCTACTAGCAGACCGCCACGATTTTATTACCAATCTAAAGGAGAGTACTAGTAGTTAGAACTAATAGTCTCACTCTTTCTCGTGAGGCTGAAAGACTCACTGATGTGTGCTGAAGTGTATAAGTAGTAGTTTCAAATTGATGACGATATAACCAGCACCAAATGCTATGATGGAAACAAGACAATGCTATATATTGCCATAAATAGCCCAAATTAATGCTATGATTTTCCCATGTTTTTGCATTTAAAACCAAGCAGAGTAGGGTGGTTTTGAAGTTAATTTTGTTCCAACGGTGCAACCTTTGAAAACGAAAGACATTTTCAGAGTTTGGTGGACTAATTGAGAGGCACGAAATGTAATTTGGTTTATCTCACCTCCTCATTATTCTATTTATTTTCTAAATTTCTATTTGATCTACCTGATCTTTAAAGTTTCTAATTATTCAAAATTTGAAATAATTAGGCCATGAAACAAAAGATTGTCCTAGACCTAGACCAAGGTATTGACGGGTCTGAAATATCATAAAATAGAATGTGATACGATAAGATAAAATACAACAAAAACGAAGATAGAAAATGTTTAATGGTTATAAATTTTAACAACAATCTAAAAATAATGCTACAGACCCATATATTTGACTCATAAATTCAAAAGAATTGAGCCCTCAATCGTTGGTTGTATAACCAATTAAAAGTTGACACCTATCTTAATATATCATTGTGAGTTGAAGTGTGAAAATTTTTTAAAGGTCTCAAATATTTTTCAAAAATAAAATACCCATGCCCAAAAAGAAAAAAGACAAAAAAAAGAGTAAGAGAAAACATAACTTGGACCCAATATTTTAAGGGGATTTACGGGTCAATCTTATAGATCAAACTTACGTACTTACAAATCTTATTATTTTTTTCATTAACCAATATCTTCAAAAAGAATTGAGAACTTAAAGTATATAAGATTTATAGATGTTTAAGTTTATCACGTAGAATTGACCCGTAATTTATTCATATTTTAATAGAGGTTAGCCCAAATGTATTTTGGGCCTAGGTTCTAGATTTGAAACAAACTCATAGAATCAAGCCCAGTCCAGTTAAGTGAGTGTGGCTCTGTATTTTCTTCCCCTCAACATCGCCGATTTTCTAAAACGAGTGGCGGACACACACACACACACACAGCCTTACAAAATTTTGTTAATTTCTCCACAAAAAAAATTAAAATAAAATTACATCAACGATAAATAACAGAAATAACTCAGACACACACACAGACACATATAGATAAATATTTCATTTTCAATTTTATTTTCAGTGTTCGATTCGTAATCTCTGGAGTCGCAAGCATGACAGCACTTCAGGCCTCAACCTCCTATGGCGTCGGCATTTCGACCTTCGTTACCTCTCCTCGTCTTCGTCTCCATCACCGCCATGTAATCACTGCCCAAGGTATTTCAAAAAAACCTCTGAATCGCTCAATATCTGCATTCTTAACCCTAATTTTCACGATTCATACACGAATTTAGATGTTAATTTTGGTAATTAGTAATCGAATTGGGCATTAGGTGAACCTTATCTTATAAATATGTGGAAGAATCAAGTTCATCCGGCAGAGTTCTGTAAAAAAATTTATTTTTATATATGTACCAACAGAAAGGATTATATCATATGATAAAATTGTTGCATCAATGTAAGCATTGATTGATTGATTTTTATTTTTATTTTTTTCATTCTAATTTTGGTTTACAGTGGAACCATCGGACAAGTCTGTTGAAATCATGAGGAAGTTCTCGGAGCAGTATGCTCGTAAGTCGGGAACATACTTCTGTGTCGACAAAGGAGTTACTTCTGTTGTTATCAAGGTATTTTTCATTTATTTTCTTTGGATTGATTACTTTGTTTTCTTTTCCTTAATCTCATTGAAGTTTGTGTTGTCTAAATTGTGAATTTAAATAAGTAGATTCACGAATAAATAAAAATTATATACTAAGAACAAATGCTAAGAATTACAATTAAATTACAATAGAAATACACAATATAATAAAATGATAAAGAAATCAAACTGAAGCCTGCATGATAGCAGTTTTGTTAAAATAGATTTTCACTGCCTCACGGGTTGAGTGCTTGAGGAATTCCAGCGTCTATCTCCCAGGATACGACGGTTAAAATTCAGTTACGGCAGAAGCACTCTCTGTCTAGCTTAGCGAGCAAACCGTGGTAGTACTCTCTCACTATAGGAACTTTTTGACAAACTGACTTGTAAAATGGAAGCAAAAATTTCTGTGTTGGGACTAGACAGGAGGGTCTCAATTTATACATGTATAGGGGAGAGAGGAGGAGCCTCCAACCTTTATAGTTGGTCACTAATGCACCATTAACGTGCCTTTATGGCTCGTCACTAATGCACTATTAACCTCTGCAATATTGCAGGAGTTACAAATATATTATACACCCTAATCCTACTACCCCTTTCATGAAGCTAACTTCATGAGGCAATTTTTCAATCAATTCTCAATAATTTTTGGCCATTCTTTTTATTGTGTAAAGATCTCATTGCAAAAGTATCTAAACTCACTTGGACCCAACACAATAGATGGTTAGGACCCACTTTCATATTTAATTAAAGTCACCAAAAACTCATTTTTTTTTCAAACAATCCCCCACATGAATAAAAATTGACTGAATGACTCAACAAACAGACACCGTTCAACAATAATGACTTGAAGAGAGAGTACAATGGACTAACCCCGGCATTAGAGAATGTAACTTTTGGTTTTGAACCTCTCCCAGTGAAAACCTATCGAGTTTACTGCTGATCAGTGAATATGACATTTTGAATTGCTTTGCCGTTTATGTAAACTGAGACAATAGATCTCACACGGAAATTACTCCTATCACCATTCTGTTCTCACTGGTGTGCCCTGTATGGCCCTGAGCACTGGCCTAGTTCAGGGAGTGGTGTCAAAGAATTTTTACCTTCTCAATTCTTCTAGAAATGGGCCCACTTCACACTCACATAGGTGACTCTTCAAAGTATCTTACTATACCCTGTTTGAATCCTCAACACATAGAGTCATTGAAAACTTTGTTTAAACTTTACCCCCACAGGTATCACTGCTTAAAGGAATGGCTGGAGGATTTTACCCCCACAGTGACATACCATTGTTACATGCAATTAGGTTGTCCCATTGAACCTAGATCTTGGGATCTGCAGTCAACTAGGTTGGGTTTTCATTCCGGTAACTTCCAAAGGTCTCAGCTTCATTCCTTTTGACGACGTCTCAACTAATACCCAATTTAACCCTTTGGTTAGCGGATTCGCAATGTTGTCCTTAGACTTTACATAGTCTATAGAAACAACTCCATTCGAAAGTAGTTGTCGTATAGAATTATGTCTACGACGGATATGTCTAGACTTTTCATTATAAATATTACTCTGTGCCCTACCAATTGCAGATTGACTATCACAATGAATATAAATAGCTGGCAGAGGTTTAGACCAACGTAGGATATCTTCAATGAAATGGCGAAGCCATTCAGCTTCTTTCGTTGCTTTATCTAAAGTAATAAACTTTGATTCCATCGTTTGATCTAGATATACATGTTTGCTTGGAAGATTTCCAAGACACGGCTGCCCCACCAATAATGAACACATATCCACTAATGGACTTTGAGTCCTTTATATCTGATATCTAATTCTCGTCATTATAGCTTTCTAGCACCGCTGGATATCGAATATAATGCAGCCCATAATTCCGAGTGTAGCATAAATACCTTAACATCCGCACAATGCCCTTCCAATGAGTAGCATCGGGATTACTTGTGTATCTACTAAGCCTGCTAACCGAGTAGGCTACATCCGGCCTTGTACAACTCATCAGATACATCAAACTTTCAACAACCCGAGAATATTTTAGTTTAGAAACACTCTCACCATTATTTTTGGTCAAATGTAGACTTACGTCTACTGGAGTCCTAGACACACGTGTATCTAATTTACCAAATTTCTCAAGTATCTTCTCAACATAGTGAGACTGAGAAAGTACAATACCACTAGAACCATACAATGATTGATAAGCTTATAGACTTTCTTATTTTGTCCTGGAGCTAAAAACCCCCCGGGTTGCTCCATGTAGATTTCTCTATTCAAATTTTCATTTAAGAAAGCTGTCTTTACATCCATCTGATTTATCTCCAGACCGCGTAAAGCTGCTACTGCAATCACCATGCGGATGGATGTAATCCTTGTCACAGGTAAATACATATCAAAGTAATTCAGGCCTTCTCACTACCTGTATCCTTTGATAACTAGCCTAGCCTTATACTTATCAATTGATCCATCTGCTTTCATCTTTCTTCTAAAGATCTACTTGTTCCCCAAGGCCTTACTACCTGGGGGTAGATTAACCAACTCTCAAGTATGATTCTGTAAGATGGAATCAATCTCACTCTTAATTGCTTCTTTCCACAAAGGATTTTCAGATGAAGTTACAGCTTTATGGAAAGTTCGAGGTTCTCCTTCTAACATGTAAGTCAAGAAGTCCAGACCAAAGGACTTTGCAGCCCTAGCCCTTTTACTCCTTCTTGGCTTATCTACTTCCTCAACTTGATCATCGACTTGATCATCTATGTGATCATCTGTTTGATCAGCTATGTAATCATTGTCACCTTCAATCTTTTTCATGGAACTTTGAATCCCTTCTTGGAGACGACAAGGAAATACATTTTGAAATAAAGATGCATTTCTTAATTCCATGATAGTATTCTTGTGTATATCTGGAATAATTGATCTATACACAAGAAATCGATATGCACTGCTATTATGTGCATAAATGTTGAATACAAAGTCAACAAATTTTTAGGCTTATCCTAACCCTCTTGGGTTTAGGTATTATCACCTTTTGCATTACAGCCCCACATTTGTAGAATTTATATAAAGGCTTTTGGCCTTTTCCAGAAATTCATACAAGGTTTTTAAACAATTTCTTGTGTCACAATGATTATGAAACTCTCAAAATCATATCACAATAAATACATTCCTAGAATGTCATCAATCGATTTAGGCACCCAAACATATTTGGTCCAACCTATCACTTTGAAACCAAATCTAGTGTTCAACTGTCTACTATTCGGAGTTTCATAACACGGCCAGTAGTCTTATCACTTTCAGCGTGTGGTCAATAGACTTTCTACTACTAGGAATCACAATCTCTTAACCTGTGATCAGTAGTCACTTTACTACTAGGAATCACAACGTCCTGACATAGAATCAATACTCTTTCATTACTCGGAATCATCATGTCTTGACATATGACCAGTAGTCTCTCCACTACTAGGAACCATCAAGACATGTGATCAGTAATCTGTTCACTACTAGGAACCACAATCTCATAACTGTGTAGCCAGTGGTTTAACACCTCCTAGGAACCACCAATTTTCTATCTCTGTGATTAGTGATCTTGTACTCACTGGGAACCACCAATTTAAGAATATATTTGGAATTTAAAAATTCAAAAATATATTCACACACCCTAACGGGTTTTCTCATCTTTGCTTTTAAGCAAAGTCACATAGCAATCATTTATGCTATAATTGACACAAGGATAACATGCTAATTGCCTCTAGTTAATTCAGAGATATTATCATGCAATCTTTCTGATTTCTTTCGATCACATCTCTCTAGATGTTCTTTTAAGAATCTCGCAAGGCTTAAGGTTGTCAGGTAAAACAACATTTCTGTTGTCACCTCTTGAAGCCATTTCTGAAAAATCATAACAGAATTTCACTATTTTGTTTTTCAAGAAATTGAACGTAACACTTAAAAATCTCATAGTTAGAAATTTAATTCAAAACTTGTCTCACCAATTAACCTAGAATTGAACATGGTCAAGAATGTTTCCAAGAAGACTGGAGGGGTCACATCGGTCCCACTTAAAACCCAACTAATCTTTTGAGAAAACATTCAAGAGCACGCCAACTCCTACTACGTGAGAAACAATTTTTTAGAATTAAGTTTTCCAAGAAATGAACTAGGTTAAAACAAACCAATGCCCAAGCAAATAAAATTTGCTACCAAAATTACACCACTCATAAAAGTTAACCGGTACTCCCGGAATTGAGCTCATTATTTCTGAATAAAAATCAAAAATATTTTAGCTATGCTAAAATTGGTTTTTTTTCTCAAAACCAAAACACTTTGGAAATAATCAGATTATAACCTAAGACTTTCTCCAAACTTGGTTTTCCAACACTTTGGGAATAAAATGATTAAATTTAAAGACTTCCTCAAACCCCAAAGGTTTGAAACCAAATCCGTCTTAGTTGTTATTTCTGAACAAATCAGATCTATTATTTAGCCAAGGCTAAACACTTTGGTTTCTATTACAGAAAACCAAATGAAGTTCCAAACTTTACAAGCAATTTAAAAATTGCTAACAAAAATTTTAAGCAATGTAAAAAATTGCTATAACAATACAAGCAAATAAATTTTTTTTACACAATTAGTAAAAACCAACTAAACCCAAGCCAAAAAAAAAAAAAAATTGCTTTACTAAACAAATGTAAACTAATCCAAATAGGATTATTTTTTTTCTCTAAACTCCTTTCCTCGCTTAATTATTCCTGTTCATCATAAAGGTTAGTCGTCCATAATTTTGTTTGTACATCCCAAAGACTATTCATTTGGTTTTGTATTTGTTTTCCCAATCCCTTTCGCATATGCATTCCTGTAAAAAAAGTAAGCGGAAAAAGATAAGAAAATACAAACCAAACAATCTAAAGAAATTTGAAACCATCTAGTAAACTATTTAATAATAAAAATTAACTAATTAAAATGCTAGGTGAGTTTCAACAATAAACCTTAAGAGTTACAAAATAAACCTATAACTCTAAGAATTAAATTAAAAATTAATAGTCTTGAGTTATGAATGAAATTAACAAGAAACATTCAAACTTATAACTCCAAATAAATAAATTACATTAGTAGGCAAGAGTTACATGAAATATAATTTACAATAAACATGTTAATAACTCTAGCAACTATCTTGTAAATAAATATAAACAAGTTACAAAAATTTTATAACTCCAAAATTATATTCAAAGTAAATGCCATGTGTTATAAATGAATTCAATTCACAATAAACATGAAAATAATTCTAGCAATTAAACATGTAGCTACACCAAAAACTAGAACATAAAGAACATGCAAATTATCTTAAAATTCTAGAAAATAATAAATATGTGAATTAAACTAGTATGTAAAAAATTATTGAACATGTTAATTATACTAGAATTGTAGAAACTAATTAGCATGTCAATGGTAACTAAACTAAATTTAAACTCTTATATACATGCAAATTATATTATAAAATAGAAAATAAACAAGCATACAAATCATGGTAGGAAATTTGAAAATCATGCTCATAAAATAAAATTCTACTAGAATAATCAAAGTGCAACCTTTAATAAAGATCTGGAAAGAAACATATTCAAATTAAATAGGAATAAAAATAAAAATAAAAAAACCCAAAACCAGCCCTTAATTAGCAAGCATGCAACAGTGGCCTTACTATGCTCCAAAATTCCTAATCATGCACTAATACACAAGAAATAGTATGGGTTTGGAATATAAATGAATAGGCTAATCATGGATGCCTCATACAAACAGTAGTTGTACATGTAAAGTCAATGGATTACCTCGGTAAGACTAGCATGTACAGTATCTCGGTAAGACTAACATGTACATCAAATAAACAACTAAGCAACAATTATTTATTTATTTGAATAAATCTAACACAACAAAGTTTCCAGGGAACAAAACAATAGCAGCCATATATATATGTATATATATACATATATCTAAATTACTAGATGAATCTATTTGTTCAATTTCATGGGAAACACATAAAATCTGTTTTAAGATTGTTGTCCAAATTGTGAATTTAAATAAATAGATTCACGAATAAATCAAAATTATATACCAAAAATACATGCTGGGAATTACAACTAAATTATAACAGAAATACATAATACAATAAAATGGTAAAAAAAAGCAAACCGAAGCCTGCACGGTAACAGTTTCTTAAAACAGATTTTCGCCGCCTCACGGGTCGAGTGCTTGAGAAATTCCGGCATCTGTCTTCCAGGATACGGCTGTCAAAAATAAGCTACGGCAGGAGCACTATCTGTCAAGCTTAGCGAACAAAAACCGTGGCAGTACTGTCTCATTGTAAGAACTTTCTGGCAAATTGACTTGTAAAATGGAAGAAAAATTTTTTGTGTTGAGACTAGACAGGAGGGTCTCAATTTATACAAGTATAAGGGAGAGAGGAGGATCCTTCAACCTTTATGGCTGGTCACTAATGCACTATTAACCTGCCTTTATGGTTGATCACTAATGCACCATTAATCTCTACAATATTGCAGGAGTTACAAACATATTATACACACTAATCCCACTACCTCTTTCATGAAGCTAACTTCATGAGGCAATTTCTCATTCAATTCTCAATGGTGTTTGGCCATTCTTTTTGTGGTCTAAAGATCTCATTGCAAAGTATCTAAATCCACTTGGACCGAATGATTGGGACCCACTTTAATATTTAATTAAAGTCACCAAAAACCTATTTTTTCCAACAGTTTGGATGTTTCAATTTTTAATATGCACCTCCTTTGAATTTCAGATCATAGGTTAATGTCATATCTTTTACAATTGGGTAATAATTGGTTTGTGAAGATAGTTTAGGTAGATGCGGTAGCAATTTATCAGTTAGCAAAAACAAGCTCTATGAAACCTAAATCTACGGGGGCTTGGTTCCATTCCATTTAGTAAGTTGCTTTGGTTTGAGAAAAACGGTCCTTAAGGACATTAGCACATTAGCAAGAATAGTTCAAGTCATGTTGTGATATTGTAGTGAACCACTAGAGCTTTATCGTAGCACACCATTGTAGTGGGCTTCTTTTTTTATTTATTTATTATTTTTTTCCTCACCATAGCAGGAAGTTATTTACTGTAGCATGTTAACAAAAACAGTATGTAAATTCTACTTTGCATGTATTGCTTTGTTTGGTCAGACTCTGGAAATACTTCTATTGACATGTGTATATATTCTAATATTTGGCAATTAGAGGAAGTTGATGATGCTAGATAGATATTCAGATCTGCTATGTTTATCCAAGCCAGCTTGATGCCTCTCATTTGTCATTTCTGGTTTCAGAAACCTAGTTCATGCATTTCTTTGTTTTATCATAGTTTCATGCTTTTTGAATTTTACGGAAGGCAGCTTTCTGTTTTCCATGTTTAGATAATTTGAGTTCATTGGTTCCATAATCAACCATACGTTTATTGTTTTTGACAATCAAGCAGGATGATACTCGTTGCTTGCATAATACTTGGAGACTGTCCTTTACCGATATAAAATAGTTTTTGGTGACACTTTTGGTGGCAACCTCTCTAGCAGATCTCTTTGGCTACAGTTTTAAGATTGTGGCATGTTCTTTTTATGGGTTTCACATGATAGCCATTAACCACTTAAATTCAATATGTTCAAACTGCTTAAAATTTAATGTTGTTATATTGATAACTTTTCCACATAATGATGTTTGTTGTATACCTCTTCTAAGCTAAACACCATAATTAGAAGTATGAAGGTTCATAAGCAAAAGAATATAAGATCAATAGGTCTGAAACATAATATAATAATGAATCTTACTAAAGAGAAACCATTTATTTTATCTTGTGAGATCATTTGGAGGAAGAGCTTAAGGAGGAAACTGATCAGGCTTTGGGCACATGTTTATGGACGTTTATGGGTGATGGGGGGATGACTTATATTCTGCTTGGGATTGTGTAGGAAGTGCCCACAAGATAATATATAGGTACATGCACCCTGTATGACAGGGGATGCAAGACAAGTACGAGTTTGTGTTTATGTGTAAGTCATCTAATAACATTTGGATACGGTTAAATATTATTCTTGTCTATAATATTCTTCTATTATTTCCTTCCTAGGGAAAATGGTATTTTTATACCATGTAGAGCTAATCATTGGTGTTTCACATTTTGAAGCAGCCATGTCAGAAAAGTAATATAATAGTCATTTTTATGTACAATTATAAGATAGTAATTCAATTGCCTGTTGTTCTTGGTACAGACGTCTAATTAGACATGTTGGACTCATATTCATACCATTACTCACGTTTAACGATTCTACACATGCACTTCACATCCATGTTACATAACTGCACATTCATTACCACGAAGGTACAATGTGATATATATTTTTAGTAGCGTCATTAAAATGCTGATAAATTTGTGTAAGATGCCTTTCTAGAATGGAAAGGTTCTTTCATTGAAGAATTATTAATTTTTTTAATAAAGATTTCATGGAGCCTGGAGGCTCTTTCTTTTCATAGATTACATGATGGAAACTCAAGTGCCAATTATAACAGAACGAATTAGGATTAGCAAGATATAAAGGATAAGAGCATCAGTTTTGGGGGTTTTGAACCGTTCAGATCTATGGTTACTCATTATAAAGCTGGAGCAGTTAATAGTCAGAGCTTTTCATGTATTTCTGGTTTCTATGAAATTGTCATGATGGAGTGATAGGTTATATATTTATCAATTAATCAGTAGCTTACATGAACAACAATGTTGCTAATTTAATATAGTTGTTCTAGGTATTTTAATTAACACCTGCATAAGTTGAAATAATTGACTCCTTGAATAATTTGATTGATCTTGAGTTACTTTCGATTCAATGGGCAGTTTATTCTGCTAGATAGTGAAAAGAAAACTCATGGAAATTGTTATTTTTATTTGATAAAAACACATGCTGGAACATAGCATATGTTTAAAGCAATTATTCTTGTGTAGACTGATTGTTTTTTCCCTCCTTTGAAGTTCTCTTTAAAAAAATTAATCATATATTGATTTGTTAAATGCAAGTCCATTAGTAGTTATTTGACAGAAACTCATATTGGAATACATACAGGGACTGGCTGACCATAAAGATTCATTGGGTGCACCACTTTGCCCTTGTAGGTAAAACATTCAGTCTTTTATCATCTTCTCGAGAAGAATTTCTTGAAAATGTCAAATGTAGTTGTCTTCATCTCATATTATAATATCCTATAATGGTGTGGTTTTGTTTCAGGCACTATGACGACAAAGCTGCTGAGGCAGGGCAAGGGTTTTGGAACTGTCCATGTGTTCCCATGAGAGAAAGGTAAACATAGTTAGACTTAAATGACTCAACTTCAGATTGCATTCAGTTGTTTCTTACGTGGTGGGCATAGGAGTTTCCTTTCTCACTTTTTGGGGATAACAATTGAATATCATGGAGTTATTTACCAGGCAGAGTTTTTTGTTGTCAAATATATCTCATACTGTACTTAATAATTCACTTCTATCGTGCTTTAATCTGTTCTTGTTATTTGAAATATCATAAACTACTATATATATTTAATTTAGTTGTAGCAGTATTTTATTCAACATTGCTGATTGTGAAAGTTGCATAAAATAGAGAAGGCAATCATCGACAGTTTTAAGTACCCATTTGAAGTTAGGAGCATAGCATTACCTGACCAAATCCAGGATATTGGTTACCTTTTTCAATATTTTTTGGGTGTGGAAATTGAAATGTCAAGGATGATTGTTGTTTCAAGTAAATTATGACAGATATTTTTGTGGGGTAGAAGATGAAACTTTGGTCGGCTTCAATACCGTTCTCATAATTTTGATGGAGCTATTCTATCCATTTGCATGTGAAATTTTGCGTTTCAGCTTATCGTTTCTTTTCTTGAGTTTCATAATTTAATCATTCTAATTCTTTAGCTAGTCATCTGTATTCTAAATGTGATATTGCCTTGGCAGGAAGGAGTGTCACTGCATGCTCTTTCTCACCTCTGATAACGATTTTGCTGGCACAGAACAGGTTAAACCATATCCTATTCTTTGATTTCATTTTTTGCATTTTTTTTTTTGTTTTTCTTTCTAATGGTAACTAAATTTAAAAATTAAACAAGTTTTACAATTGCTTTGAATAGCTCTTGTAATAACCTAAGATGTGATGATGCCTAGAACAACCTACTTTTACATGCCTCTCTTTAATAAGGCTGGTAACTCAGGGAAGAGGATTTGTTCAGTGTATGTTGTCAAGTCCTAGAATCGATGCATTCCAGTTACACTTGGATGGATCATTAGTTTCAAACCTTATTCTTGTGGTTTTGCCCATGTAATGTATATTCTGTGCAAGTTATTTTCCTAGATTTTATTTTGCTCATCACTTTTTCGTGGTATGCAGACCATTTCATTGGAAGAAATCAAAGAAGCAACAGCAAATATGTAGTGCTCGAATCTAGTGTATTGAATTCACTGGTTTGAATGCTCTTGTATGTAAATTTGTATTGTGATAAGAATCATCTCTAGTTATGTTCCAATGTTTTGTGCATTAGCAATGGTCTTGAAGAATCTTTGAGAAATCAGAATATACATTAAAGATCTGTAAGAAGCATGTCAGCATTGACTAGATATCTGTTTCATGATTTGCTGTGTATGTTCAATTAACATGGCACATATTCTTGAAGATCATGTCATATGGTTTGTTTGAAAATTTTGCAACTGTAGCAGAGCATGATATACTTCAATTCTCTGATATTCTGTTTTTTTTGAGAGTTGGATGTTAGTGGCTGGTTGAGTGACATGGAGGGAAGTAATGTATGGATAATGCAACCGTGAATGCATGCTGTATTTTGATATCGTTTGGTCGTTTCTAAAAAATGCTCAAGACTCCTAAAATGCTTATGTAAAATGTTAGGCTGTTTAATGTTTTACGTTTTTGTTATTGTTTAAAATTAAACAAATAGGGCATGTTTGATTGATAGGATTAGAGTATGAGATTAAGATTATTAATCTGTGAGCTTAATAATTCTATGTTTGTTTTAAAATTTTGTTTTAGGATTATTAATCTAATGAATAAGTAGTCCAACAAATTTGTAAGATTATTAGTAATGGAGTAGGGGTGGGATTATATATCCAGAGCTAAGAAATAAAATAAAAAGACTCTTTTACCCTTGACTAAAAATTAAAACACTTGTTATTTTTATATAATTTTATATTTTAGAAGGCTAAAAATAATTTTTTAAAAATTGAAAATATTTTTTGATATTTATTTTATAAAATTAGTTTATATTTAAAAAACCAAATATGACCTTTGTATTTTTATTTTGCTTTTATTTATTTAGTTATAATTTTTTTTAAAACCACGTTTATGAAGAAATTTTGATAAAGTAAAAATTGTGAAGAAACGTTAATAAAATGTAAGATTAGAAAAGAAAATAAATATAGTTGTAATCTTACATTTATTTGTATTCTTATCCAATTCAAACAATAGATAAGGGGATAATTTATTCTACTAATCCAATTAGATAGTGAATATCATACTAATTTGATGAAATTATTAATACTTTCACTATTAGTGTTATAAATCAAAATGGCCATAATGTACACATTTCTTGGAAAGCATTGTTGTTAACATGTTTTTATTTGTAAGGAGGGGTATTCGCGGTTCGGTTTTAGACGGTTTGTAAATCGGTTTGGACTTACCTGCATGTATGCGGTTTGGAAAAAATTCAACCCGCAACCGTCCGCAATGTGGGTTATAGTTTGTGCGGATATGATTTGTGGATTGGACTTTTTTCAATTTTTAGATTCAATTTCAATTTCCAGATTCACTATAATATATTGATTTCAATTTCGAAAGTAATTAACATATTCAATTTCTCCTCTATGAAGAAGTAGATTTAATTTCCTTCAATGTTCACAGAGCAAACAAAAACAAAGTAAAACAAAAACATTCAAAAACAATGTTTTGTACTACATTTCTTTTTGTATCGTGAAATTAGAGTTTGGTGTGTTTGGCCAAAAACATCTAGAATAGGATGAATGAAATCAGCAGTGTAAATTTATTTATATATTTATTTTTTAAATTCTAAGTGCAAGCGGATCCTTGTGGGTGCGGGTTAAACTCACAATCTGTCCGTAACAAGTATTATGTCATTTTTCAAATCGCATCTGTCCGCATTGTGTTTGCGAAACCGCTCATTTATACGTGAATCGATTCGGATTGGGCGGTTCAAATAACCCTATACCCAGCCCTACTTATAAGTAAATGTTAGATGGTGTTTTAAGTAAAAAGTGATTTGTCTTAATACTTTTTTTTTTCAAAACAAAAAAGTATTAAAACACTCTAAATGTCAAGCAGGAGCAATTGTTCAATCTTTCCGCAATATCACATTGGCAATGTATATCTAGTAGGAAGCGAGGATGCACTTACATGTTCCTAAAAAATAAGAGAATAATTTGGAACAGAAAAAATATTTTCTTACAAAAGACAATATATATGAAAAATATTTTCTAGATAACTTACTTTTATGTTTCGTTGAGACATGCTGGTGGTAGTGTGGATTGATAAAATGTTAGATTGATAAAAAAATGTTCTTTCATTTTTGTATTTTTGTCATATCAAACATTAAAAAATGTAGAAAATATATTCTGTCAAAATAAAATGGGATTTTAAATCTTACAAATTTCATCAACGTACAATTCAGATAAGAGATTTTGTTTGTCATTATAATAAACAATAGAAGAACACACAATCCATGACAAGTTAGAAAATAATGGTTCAACAAACACACTACATGAAATCATCAATAACAAAGTATCAAACACTTTTTAACAGGCTTTGACAGAGGGAGTCCTCCTGGGTGAAGAATTCGAACCACCACGACTTTCCTTTGCACAATCACTAGCACTGCCATTAACATTCCTCGAAGCCAAAGCAATCAAAAATTTAGCCCTAGCAGGAATCACAGAGGAGCTCTGTCTCTGTTTGCAATCATGATCGGCTGGGAATCGATGCTTGAGGCAAACCTTAACATCACAAGTCTTACAAGTGCTAGTGTTGGAGAATGTCAAAACCTCTTTGCACCGCCTTACGGGACAAATTGGCTTCTTCTTCTTCTTGGGGTCACAGTCCCCGGACTTGTCGTGCCTCTCCAACATTGCCTTTTCGTCGTCTCCATCGTGGCCGGTTGTTTCGATCGATGATGAACAGGTTTCACAAACTACCACCTTCCTGCTGTTGTGATCTGCTTTTGGACAGTTATGGGATTTGAATGATCTGTGTTCCAAGCAGAATGCCTGTGGATTCCCATTCAAATCGAATCATCAATTGAATTGAAATATGGAACAAATTTCATTTTTTTTTTTATATCGAATCAAAAAACGAAACAATAGTGAAATATCAAATTTTCAATACTTCCACTAATGTTTCCACAAAAACATAACAAACTGTGAGAAAACTTTACTTATTTATTTATAAGTAACTCGGTATCCAGTGGACTAATCCAATGATCAATCCCATGGCAGCATCCAATTAAAACCGGAATAAAGTTACCTATAAATTGGCCTAAAAGGAGTACAGACCCTAAAAAATTTATGAATTTTTTTTTTATCAAAAGTCACCTACATGGAGTCCCACACCCATATAAAATATTTAGTAAAAATTTTAATAAATCTTTTGCGATCTCTAACATTTTCCGTCCAAAAAATGAATTGCACTAGTTCCCCTTGGGTTAATGACAAAACATTAACACACACTGGAATAATGAGTTGTTAACTTACAAGTATTTAACAATTATCATTCCTATTTACATCTTTTATTCAAATGAAAAAATTGAGAGAAATGAGCATAAAGAAAAAAAAATTCTTAAATTTATGAGATAATTACACCATCTTGTAATTATGGGTCATTTTCAATTTATCCCTTAATTAAAAATAAAATTTATTATATTTTGTCCCATAACGTGCTAATGTATTTTAATCTCAATCTTATAGCCTTTTCTATATATGAGAAAAAATATTTTATCTACGCTCACGACGTCACTTTTCTAATCAATGAAAATTTGAGATTAAAAAGAATTAAAAAATTAACTTTTCAAAACAGAAATTTAAAAATAAAACAAATCAAAAGAATCATGGGGATTTAAAGGAGATGCAATAATTTCATGTTGGGTCCTTCAACCTTTTTATAGAAAAAAAATCGACATCAAAAAATTTTACCCAATACAAAAAAAATTCAAATTTTCTCTAATACGATTAGAGAGAAATTTCACTGAGAAATCATGGTTAATAAAAGAAAATAGGTTGGACCTTTCTTACTATCTAAATTAGAGAGATGATTCACTAATTTTTTATAAAACATAACAATTTTTAGTTGGGGGAAGATAACAAGTAATAGTTCATGGATAAATTGTAATTTGTCCTAAATTTATCAAAGAAAACTGAAAAACAAGAAAGAAGAAACAAAAAGAAAAGAAAAGAAGGAGAAGATAAGAAAAAACGAGCCAGAATTAGGAATTTACCTTGCGACATGAATCGCATTTAAAAGGGAGGAAATCGAGTTGATTGCATTCAGGGTGTTGACAGTGGATTCCCAAATCCGGAAAAGCTTCCGTTCCTCCTCCCATCTCTCTCTCTCTCTAGAATTTTGAATCTCTCTGGTTTATTTTTCTCTCTCTAAAAATCAATTGCTGCTGATTAAAGAAGATGATATGATTCCCAAACTCCTCCGATGGTGTTTATATATATACACTATGAAGAGATTTCGTAGGCGCTCTCGTCTTGGCTTGAGGCCCAAGACAAGTCTCCCACCTCTTTCCGAATTCCAGAGATTTTTTATTAAAAATAAATAAATAAATAAATGATACGAGATGTGTCTTAGCTCACGCGGTTGTTTCGTTACCGAGAAGGAGACACACGTGTGCCATTTCATCAGCAAAAGCTTTATGCGTTTTTGAAAATTAAATTTTTTATTTGGGTAAATTATAATAATAGTTCTTATAGTTTGGGACTTATGTCATTTTGGTCTCTGACTTTTTAATTATGGCACATTTAATTTTGAATTTTGAATCTTGTTCTAAATAACGACAATTGAATATATCATTAGATTTTTCAAGGGCAAAATCGTCAATTTGATAAAAATAAACTAATTTGATAAAAATAAATGTCAAACAAATATTTTTGAATTTTTAAAAATTATTTCTACCCTTTAAAAATAACATTATGTAAAATTGATAAATCTTTTAGACATTTATTTATTTTTTTACCAAATTAATTTTTATTATGTGTTTAGATGATGATCATGCAAAATTAATTTTTAAAAATTAATCATGTAATTTTTATTAATTTTTATCAATTTTACATAATTTTATTATTGGTGGATAAAAATAATTTTTAAGAAATTAAAAATATTTTGTTGATATTTATTTTTGTCAAATTAGTTTATATTTTATTAAATTGACGATTTTGCCTTTGAAATTAAACAATGGTATCTTCAATTGTCCTTATTTGGAACAAGATTCAAAATTCATGGTCAAATGTGTCACAATTGAAAAGTCAAGGACCAAAGTGACACGAGTCCCAAACTATAAGGACTGTTAGTGTAATTTGCCCTTTTTATTTTTTCAATTTTAGTAACTATTTTTTAAATTTTAATTAATTTTTTTAAATATATCTTACTTAGATGTATCTAAATAATGAAATATTTGTAAAAAATATTTTACAAAATTAATAAATATACAAAAATGAAAAAAAATATACTGAATTTTTTTATTTTTTGGTATTTAGTGTATTTCTTAAAGATTTTTTTTTTACAAATATTATATTTTTTTTAAGTGTATTTATGTTAAGTGTATCTAAAAATTTTAAAAAATTACTTAAAATATTCAAAAAATTAATTGAAAACATTACAATACGAAAAATAAAAAAATAAATTTTTTTGAAAATTATTTTTTAAAAATCAGAACCAAACAAATTGTATTTTTTGATATTTTATAAAAAAAGTGAGTAAAAATAGAAATGTGATTTGATCTAAATAGACGCACTTATTTGATTTAGAAAAATATTCAAAATTAATAAATATACAAAAATGAAAAAAAATATACTGAATTTTTTTATTTTTTGGTATTTAGTGTATTTCTTAAAGATTTTTTTTTTACAAATATTATATTTTTTTTAAGTGTATTTATGTTAAGTGTATCTAAAAATTTTAAAAAATTACTTAAAATATTCAAAAAATTAATTGAAAACATTAAAATACTGAAAATAAAAAAATAAAATTTTTTAAAAATTATTTTTTGAAAATCAGAACCAAACAAATTGTATTTTTTGATATTTTATAAAAAAAAGGTGTAAAAATAGACATGTGATTTGATCTAAATAGACGCACATATTTGATTTAGAAAAATATTTGGGACCCTTGAAGCGGGGACTCTCATGACCTCAAAATCATGTAGACCAATCATATGTGTTTTTTTTTTCTTTCCTTTTTCTGGGCCAATCACAGATAAGTGAGATTGGAGAATTGTATTTTTTCGAGATTGATTAATTTATGTCAAATAATACCTTTCGAGTGGGTCCCACATCAAATACCCACGGCAAAATTATTTTCGGCCCACATGCACTCAACGGGTTGAATCGGTTCGGGATTCAGGGAACGGGCTTGGGTTGGGCCATAGGCCTTGAGGCCTACATAACACATAAAATGCGACTTAAACATTTTTTTTCCGTGTTTTGAAGGCATGATCTACAATTCTCAACTCTTGAGAATTGACTTTTATTTTTTATTTTTTTTATTTTTAATATATAGAAAATTACAAAGAATGATGTGATAATTTAAAATAATTTTATGATTTTTTTATTATCTTGGCCCCTCTCCGGATGGATAAATCATCAAAAATCAAAGGGAAATTTTAATATTCACACCCTTAAAAATGATGCACCATATGCACCTCTGATTATTTTCTTATTTAGTTATGACAAATTTTTTTCTTTAGTTATGAAATTATTTTAGTTATAACTCTTGAAATCTTTAATTATGCCTCATATAGTATTTAGTTATGATTCAAAAAATATAAAATTATATTATTTTTTCTTTTAGTTATAAAATATATATGATCACCTTGTGTAACATATTGTTTCCCCAAATCAAATCTACTGACCACCAACAGTCTTCTTATTAAATTACTATTTATAAAAATCAAAATATAATTAATAAAAAAAATAATTAATATTAAAAAGTAATAATAATAATAATAATAATAATAATAAATCTCAATTATTGTTCATGAAACCTTATTAGTACAATCAAAAATGATAGAGAGTTCTAGAGTTGGTACTCTAAACCCAGCTTTAGTGATGTGGAAATTCAAAAAAAAAAAAACAAAAACAAAAAACTAATACTAAAACATCACATCACATTGGTTCACCACAAATTAAAGCTCTCTAAAGCTCATAAATTAGAGTTCCCAATTTTTTTTTTTTTAAGCATAAGAGCCTTCATCTATTATCTTGTTCATCAGTGACAACATAATAAAGATGAAAAATGCTTCAGAGCTCGAATTCTCCGTGGCTTAAGTGGCCCAAATCCAAAATGATGTCGTTTTGGATTTTTTTCCCCCCTCTCTCTTTTATATCTAAAACAGAAGCAGAAACAGATGGAGAAAGGAAGGAAGAGAAAGAGAGAAGGAAGGGGAAAGAGAGAATGAAGGGGGAAGAGGGAGGGGAGACCATCACTAGCGCCCACCATCCTTTGTGTGTATACACAGATAGATCTGTCTGTGTATAGACAGATCTGTATCTCTCTCTCTCTCTCTCTTTGTGTATCTCTCTCTTTCGTTTTGTTGATGATGATGATGATGTGGTGTTGATGATGATGATGATGTGTTGGTTGTTGATGATCTGCTCTTCTCTTCATTCTTCTTCTTCTTCTTCTTCTTCTTCTTCTTCTGTTTTCTTCTTTCTTCTTCTTCTATGAGTTATGGAAAGGATGAAAAAAAGGAAAAAAAAAAAAAAAAATCCCAAAACGATGTCGTTTTGGGATTTCAGGCCACTCGAGCCACGGAAAATTCGAGCTACGTAGTGGGATTGAATAAAGATAGCTGAGTACAATAGGACATCTGTAGGCTTTATTTATTGTCTGCATCATTCATTCACAATATTAAAAAAAAGGTTAAATGAGGTTTTGATTTTTTTTTTTTTCTTGGAGGAAATACCGCAAGGCTACAAACGAGCATCAAAACTCAACAAAGCTAAAAGATGTGAAGGGAGATTCCTAACCCAATCCAAAGAAAGTAAGCCTTTAAGGCCATGTTTGTTTGGGCGAACTACATTAAGCTGGATTAACATTCCCATGACTAATAGTCTTAAGACTACAAATCCCTTTGGATTGTATATCCTATCTTATGTTTGGATTGAGTTAGGATTATAAGGAGGGATTAACAAAATATTATCTAATTCGATATTTGTTTAAGGGGATTGGAATAGATAGGACATGACAGGACATGGGACATCCAATATATTGACCATAATACTTCTATTATAGTCATTTGATAAGTTAGTCCAGATTTTAACTTAGTCTCCCAATTTATATTTCATCTCCTATGTGGGATTGAATAGTCCATCATATGTAGGATACCATATACGAATGGATTGTTAGTCCGTACTTCAATTTTTTAACCAAACATCGAATTAATAATTTTATTGAACTATTAGTCCAATTCCAAACACATATCCACCCAAACAAATATAGCCTAAGATTACTAGAAGCTAACCAATGAGTTACTCGATTTGCATTTCGAGGGGCTCATGAAAAGGAGAAATGGTTAGATGATCGGCATTGACTATTATCTTGGAGGATTGGAAGGCAATTCCAAGGTGGTACAAGCTCAAAGACTCTCAACTCGATCACTGCCTTGTTGTCTCTTTCGATCTCAACATGATTAAGCCCACGAGATTACAAGAAAGTGCAGGCCAAACGCACCTTTCGGGCTTCCCCTTATTTCATCGATGAGAAGTAAGAGAGGTTAACCAAGCCCTCAACCATCGTTCCCTTGTCATCTCGGAGAACGACTGCTAAGGAAGTCTTCTTTCTTGCTATCTTTAGAGAAACCAACATCACAATTCACCTTAAGCTGGCCATAGAGAGGTCTAATCCAAGATAGGATATTTTGGGCTGGGACTGAAACATCAATAGACGTATACAAAAACTCTAGCTTAAATCGAAACAGTTCACCGAAAAATTATTAATTGGCTTGGTGCACCACGTGCCTGTGTCTCAGGCCAAACATAAATTATTACGTCTTTTATATTCTTCAATTACTCAATATAAAATTTTAAATTCTATCATTTTCATCAATCACAATACACATGAAATATCACATGGCGCTATTTCTACACCAACCAATAACTTCTCCAGTTCACCACCTGTGACACCGAAGAAAGTAAGTATTATAGCGTAATTATTCAGTAATTCCAAAATATAGATACGTGGTATTTTATAATATTGTGATTGGTGGAGAAGGTAGGTAGGTGAGGTATTGTGTTAGGTGATTGGAGAACATGAGAAACATATTGAATGATAATTGATTAAGGAGTACAAACACATAGTATTCTAAGAATAGTCTATAATTTTCTGTATTCTAGAGAGGAAAAATGAAAAATGATAAAGTAGTTCTACTTTTTTGCATATATATATTTTATAAAAAGTTTATTTTTTCATATATTATATTAATTTTCATAATCTCATATTTTAATTAAAAAAAGACTACTTTTCAAACAGGTAGAGAATCTTCCATTGAATAGCTAAATTTGAGTGTTAAATAAAAT